AGTGACTCTGAAGCTGGTCCTAGTGGCATTAAAAGAAGAAGGGAAGTAACCCCGGAAAAGGACTTGCTACCTCAAGTCCTAATGGAAGGGGATTCCCCTTCTAAACAATAAGTTCGACACTCTCCCCTCCTCCCATCCAATCAATCATCACCAGATCTTCATTAAAGGTAAGTGTCATGTATTCTATTGTTAGTAGAGTGTACTACAAACTGTGCATGTCTTCTTCAGTTTGTGTGCATTAAACTTAATATTTCATGTGGCAAAATTTTTTTTTTTCATACTTTTGGGTGTCTTGCACGGATTGATTTGATTTCCATTATTTCTTATGGGGAAAATTAATTTGCCTTTCGATAATTTTGGCATACGATGAGCTCTCAGGAACGGATTAATATCGTATACTGGGGGACCACTGTATATACGTTTGGACCGTTTAGGGGTTAAGGTGCTTTGCTGATACATAGGGCTTTTCAATTGTATTCATGTTTATGATTTTTGGTGCCTGCCTTGCTTTACAGTAAACTAGCAGTTTTATTATTCATTATTTTTACTTTTGCATCATTTTTTTTAGGCCTCACACTATTCCTCACTTAATGATAATGTAAACATGTTTTTAGGCTTTCACATGCACTGGCAAGTGAAAAAAAGGCAGTTATACATTTTAAGGCAGTGGTCTGGAGCCTAACCTGCTGTATTAGTGAAGTATGCCTGTATGTTATTTACATGGTTGATGTTTATGGATTACTTGTGAAAACATGGTTGCTCATGTTATATTTTAAAGGTGGTTAACTCGCTGATTGGTAATACTGTGGATGAGAAGAAATGTCGAGTAAAAGTCACTATCATCCACAAATTATTATTCATCCGTCACCAGTTAATCCATCAATCTCAGTTATTCCACCGTCACTTAATCATTCTCAATATATTCAGCATCATTTAGTCCATCAATTAATCTTCACGCACCACCAGTCATCAGTTATCACCACTCATCATTCACCATTAATTATCCATAGTTATACAGTGGAACCTCTACTTGCGAGCGTGTCCACGTGCGAGTTTTTCCAAATACGAGCAGTCGATGGGTTGATTTTTTGCTTCCATACGCGAGCACAATTTCCACAAGCGAGCAGACCTCAAGGCAGGTTCCTTGACACTGGTGAGGGGCTTTTGCTCTTGATCTCGTGAATTGTATCTCATTTGTTTGTTGGACTATCTTATTAAAACTTGGACAATGTATGATGGAAAGATGCTTCTTAATGTACACCAAAAATGAAAGAAATCTAAGCATAAATAATGGAGTTCACTTCTCAGCAATTAGCCTCCCCTTAGCGGTAATTTTGAATGGTTTTTACGGTTGTATTCTTGTTTTTTGGTCTCATTTGATAGAATGGAAGATAAATTACAAAAATAGATATGATTTTGATTGCTTTCACGATGAAAAGTACCTTGAAATAGAGCTCAACCTAGGAGGAATGATCCATTGCTTGGCTGTTTCAGTGTAAACAGATGACGTCACAGTAAATCTTATGTTTTTTGTGTGAATATAAATTACAATTTTTTTATATAATAATAACGATAATAATAATAATAATAATAATAATAATAATAATAATAATAATGAAAGAAATCTAAGCATAAATAATGGAGTTCACTTCTCAGCAATTAGCCACCCCTTAGTGGTACTTTCGTATGGTTTTTATGGTTGTATTCTCTTTTTTTGGTCTCATTTGATAGAATGGAAGATATATTACAGAAATAGATATGATTTTGATTGCTTACATGACGAAAAGTGCCTTGAAATTGAGCTCAACCTAGGAAAAATGGTCAATTGCTTGGCTGTTTCAGTGTAAACAAATGACGTCACTGCCCATTCCAATATGCAGTCGTGAATGGGTTGACATATTTATACAATTATTGCAATTGGGAATAACAGTAAATCTTATATTTTTTGTGTGAATAAAAATTACAAATAATTTATATAATAATGTCCATTTTTTTTTACCTGAATCTGAATGAACTTTGTCCCATAATTCTTTAGTCCATTAAATCAAGGGTTTATTGTATTTGGTTAACACTCTCTTAGTGGCACTAACCTTTTTAAGTGCTGCTCTGTATCAAAAGTGGAATTTTTTGCTTTATACAGTGGAACCTCAAAAATCGAACGTATCACATATCGAACGTTTCGAAATAGGACCATTTTTTCGGACAAACTGTGTCCCTATTATCGCACACGCCCCTATTTTCGGACTGCCAGGTATGGGACATGTCCGTGGGCCTGCTCTGTCCGCGTCCCCGCGCAGGCGCCGTGAGCAGTCTAGCTTTGTTTATGCTTGAGTGAACACTAACCTGCACTCTCATTCACACATTTTACGATTAGTATTTTGTCGTGTTTAGCACTTGTGGGACTGTGAAATAAGCTGCCATGGGCTCAAAGAAACTTGCTAGTGGTACCCCTGTGGTAAAGAAAGTGAGAAACACAATAGATGTGAAGAAGGAAATAATACAGAAGTATGAGAGTGGTGTGAGACTTGTTGAGCTTGCCAGGATGTATGGGAAAAACAAGTCGACCATCGGTTCTATCCTGTCAAAGAAAGAACAAATCAAGGAAGCTGATGTTGCGAAAGGTATTAATATGCTAACCAAAAAAAGACCACAAATAGTTGAAGAGGTTGAGAAGTTGTTGCTGGTGTGGATCAAGGATAAAGAGATTGTAGGTGATAGTGTTTCAGAGACGATTATTTGCGAAAAGGCAAGGAAGTTGCATGCCGATCTGGTACAGAAAACTCCTGGAACCAGTGCTGATAGTGAATTTAAGGCCAGCAGAGGCTGGTTTGACAGATTTAAGAAGCATAGTGGCATACACAATGTTGTAAGACATGGTGAGGCAGCCAGTTCAGACAAACGGGCGGCTGAGAAGTTTGTACAGAAGTTTAAGAGGTACATAGACAGTGAAGAATTCATACCTGAACTAGTGTTTAATTGTGATGAAACAGGCTTGTTTTGGAAGAAAATGCCAAAAAGGACCTTCATCACACAGGAGGAAAAGGCACTGCCAGGACACAAGCCTATGAAAGACAGGCTTACTCTTTTGTTCTGTGCTAATGCTAGTGGTGATTTTAAAGTGAAGCCTTTACTTGTGTATCATTCAGAAAATCCCAGAGTGTTTAAGAAAAATAATGTCTTAAAGAACAAATTATGTGTCTTGTGGAAAGCTAATTATAAGGCATGGGTCACATGACAAATTTTCAAAGAGTGGGTCTATGAAGTGTTTGGCCCCAGTGTGAAAAAATACCTCCAGGAAAAGAAATTGCCACTCAAGTGCCTCCTGTTAATGGACAATGCTCCTGCTCATCCTCCAAACTTATTAGACCTCTTGTCTAAGGACTTCAATTTTATAAAAGTGAAGTTCTTGCCTCCTAACACCACTCCTCTCCTCCAGCCCATGGACCAGCAGGTTATTTCTAACTTCAAAAAACTCTACTCAAAAGCAGTGTTTGAAAAGTGCTTTGAAGTGACCACAGACACTAAGTTGACTCTAAGAGAGTTCTGGAGGAATCACTTCAACATCTACAGCTCCATAAGTCTTATAGGTAAGGCTTGGGAGGGAGTGACTTCCAGGACTTTGAACTCTGCTTGGAGATAATTGTGGCCAGATTGTGTCCAAAAGAGGGATTTTGAAGGGTTTGAGGCTGACCCTGACCCTGACCCAGCTCACCCTCTGCCTGTTGTGGACTCTATTGTGGCATTGGGGAACACCCTGGGATTGGAGGTGAATGGTGAGGATGTGGAAGAGTTGGTGGAGGATCACAGGGAAGAGCTAACCACTGAAGAGCTGCAAGAGCTTCATCTGGAGCAGTATCAGACCACAGATGAGGAACTTGCTTCAGAGGAGGAGAAAGAGGGAGTGGATGAGGTGCCTTCTTCAAAGATTAAGGAGATTTGTGCCAAGTGGAATGATGTCCAAGTGTTTGTACAGAAGTACCACCCTGAGCAAGCTGAAACAAGCCATCTTTGCATCAAGTTCAGTGATAAAGCCATGTCCCATTTTAGGGAATTGTTAAAGAGGTGCCAGAAACAGAGGACTGTGGACAGTTATTTTGTGAGACAGGGGTCCAGTGACTCAAGCTGGTCCTAGTGGCATTAAAAGACAGAGAAGGGAAGTAACCCCAGAGAGGGCTTTACCTGAAGTCCTCATGGAGGGGGATTCCCCTTCCAAACAATAACCCCAACTCCCTCTCTCCTCCTCCCTATCTTCCAGATGCCATCACCAGTCTTCAATAAAGGTAAGTAAAAATGTTATTTTATATGTATTACTATACATAATTAAAAACTATAGTATTTGTTGTATGTAAAACTGTAATTAATCTTTATAAAATGTATTTTATGTGTGAATATTTTTGGGTTTCTGGAACGGATTAATTGTATTTCCATTATTTCTTATGGGAAATATTGCTTCGAATTTCAGACTTTTCGAATTTAGAACTTGCTCCTGGAATGGATTAAGTTCGATATTTGAGGTTCCACTGTATATTTATCTTCATTATCAGTTCCATTGTCTTTTTCCTTCTAACATTAATAAATTAGTAAAATAAAGTAAAATAAAGTAAAGTAAGATACACAGTAAAATAAAGTAAGATACATAATTTGACAGATACTGTGGAAAGTTCCTTGTGCAATGCATTTTGGGCAAATTAAGACTAACTTAAACTAGTTTAAAATTACATAATTGATATGCTCAATGTTGACTATGTTAATGCTAATACTCCTGGATATAGATATAATGCTGACAGGTGTGAGTATGATGACAGTGAAGAATAAGCTATTACTGGGACATTGTTTCACTCATGGTAAGCCTGAGAGAAACTTTGTCCCAGGGAAAGCTTGATCTGTATATTACAACTTCATACCCACAACTTATCTTCCTACACATTTTTAAAAATGATGTATAACTGCTGCAGTATATAGTACAGGTAAGACAATCATACTGTTTGTTATTACACCAGAGCCAACAGCTGTGGCATGGTTGATGCAGCTACAATGGAGTCTCTGGGTGGTCACTTTAAGGGAATATTTCCAATGGGACTAATTGGCAGCTTACTGCCAGCACACACTGAACAGAAATTTACTCGCTTCTTCAAAAAGGACCCCCAAAACCCCAATGTTGTAAGTATATGTATATTTAGAAAGTATCTAAAACATTTAATGATGAATCTATATGTTGTCTTTGTTGTTATAATGTGAAGTAATATCTGCTTATTTGGAATGAAAAATAAATGCATACAAAATATGATGAATTCTATAATTAAAATTTTATAAACAAATTTGAAATGCAGATAAATAAGATTCAACACAGCAAATTTCATTTATAATGGAACTTGCCTCCTTGAATAACACACTATAATTTTTTGTCTTTTGAGTGCCTAGTGTGTTTTTTGTCATAATTAGGCAAGTAGTTTTCAAATATATGCAAAATATAAAATTAAAAATTTACGTAGAATGAAAGGGGGTAAAGCAGATGGAACTGATGGGATCATGACAGAAATGTTAAAAGCAGGGGGGGATATAGTGTTGGAGTGGTTGGTACTTTTGTTTAATAAATGTATGAAAGAGGGGAAGGTACCTAGGGATTGGCAGAGAGCATGTATAGTCCCTTTATGTAAAGGGAAAGGGGACAAAGGAGATTGTAAAAATTATAGAGGAACAAGTTTACTGAGTATACCAGGAAAAGTATACGGAAGGGTTATAATTGAAAGAATTAGAGGTAAGACAGAATGTAGGATTGCAGATGAGCAGGGAGGCTTCAGAGTGGGTAAGGGATGTGTAGATCAAGTGTTTACATTGAAGCATATATGTGAACAGTATTTAGATAAAGGTAGGGAAGTTTTTATTGCATTTATGGATTTAGAAAAGGCATATGATAGTGGATAGAGGAGCAATGTGGCAGATGTTGCAAGTATATGGAATAGGTGGTAAGTTACTAAATGCTGTAAAGAGTTTTTATGAGGATAGTGAGGCTCAGGTTAGGGTGTGTAGAAGAGAGGGAGACTACTTCCCGGTAAAAGTAGGTCTTAGACAGGGATGTGTAATGCAGTTAGAATGATAACAAATTCTCACTACAGGCAACACACTCCACCAATATTCAAAGCACTCAACCTACTCACCATACAAAACATCCATACTTATTATTGCACCTATTACATACATAGAACACTTAACTCTGATATTAACCCTCCCCTCAAACATCTCCTTGCAAACCTCAACAGAACACATGACCAGAACACAAGGCTCAGATCACTCTTTGAAGTTCCTCGTGTCCATCTCACGCTATGCAAAAACTCAATGCACATAAAAGGCCCTAAAATCTGGAATTCATTACCTGTAAATATAAAAGAAACACTACCTGTTTATAAATTCAAGTCTCTTCTCAAAGATCACTTACTCACTCAAAACCAAATAAATACTGAATAACTGAACCTTATAAATTGTATATCCTATATGTTACTCACAACTATATCACACAAATGTTAAACCTAGGACCCAATCTAACTTTATTATTTTTTTAAATACACTACCTAACAGAATACTCCATTCGACTGAATGTACAGCAATGCAAGCAACCATATGACCTGTCTTTGAAATACTCATTTGTGCTTTATAGTTATCTGTTTACAATAATGTTTTATCACTGATTTCATCATTGCTTAGTTAATCTTAAGTTAATTTTAAGCCAGCCCGTAATGCTATGCATATAAGTGGCTTTGGCATGCTGCTCTTACCTGTATTTTTTGTACCTCTGTTTGTATGCTTAAATTACTAAATAAATAAATAAATAAATAAATGTCACCATGGTTGTTTAATATATTTATAGATGGGGTTGTAAAAGAAGTAAATGCTAGGGTGTTTGGGAGAGGGGTGGGATTAAATTGTGGGGAATCAAATTCAAAATGGGAATTGACACAGTTACTTTTTGCTGATGATACTGTGCTTATGGGAGATTCTAAAGAAAAATTGCAAAGGTTAGTGAATGAGTTTGAGAATGTGTGTAAAGGTAGAAAGTTGAAAGTGAACATAGAAAAGAGTAAGGTGATGAGGGTATCAAATGATTTAGATAAAGAAAAATTGGATATCAAATTGGGGAGGAGGAAGGAAGGAAGAGGAAGAAGTGAATGTTTTCAGATACTTGGGAGTTGACGTGTCGGCGGATGGATTTATGAAGGATGAGGTTAATCATAGAATTGATGAGGGAAAAAAGGTGAGTGGTGCGTTGAGGTATATGTGGAGTCAAAAAACGTTATCTATGGAGGCAAAGAAGGGAATGTATGAAAGTATAGTAGTACCAACACTCTTATATGGATGTGAAGCTTGGGTGGTAAATGCAGCAGCGAGGAGACGGTTGGAGGCAGTGGAGATGTCCTGTCTAAGGGCAGTGTGTGGTGTAAATATTATGCAGAAAATTCGGAGTGTGGAAATTAGGAGAAGGTGTGGAGTTAATAAAAGCATTAGTCAGAGGGCAGAAGAGGGGTTGTTGAGGTGGTATGGTCATTTAGAGAGAATGGATCAAAGTAGAATGACATGGAGAGCATATAAATCTATAGGGGAAGGAAGGAGGGGTAGGGGTCGTCCTCGAAAGGGTTGGAAAGAGGGGGTAAAGGAGGTTTTGTGGGCTAGGGGCTTGGACTTCCAGCAAGCGTGCATGAGCGTATTACTAGATAGGAGTGAATGGAGGCGAATGATACTTGGGACCTGACGATCTGTTGGAGTGTGAGCAGGGTAATATTTAGTGAAGGGATTCAGGGAAACCGGTTATTTTCATATAGTCGGACTTGAGGCCTGGAAATGGGAAGTACAATGCCTGCACTTTAAAGGAGGGGTTTGGGATATTGGCAGTTTGGAGGGATATGTTGTGTATCTTTATATGTATATGCTTCTGAACTGTTGTATTCTGAGCACCTCTGCTAAAGCAGTGATAATGTGTGAGTGTGGTGAAAGTGTTGAATGATGATGAAAGTATTTTCTTTTTGGGGATTTTCTTTCTTTTTTGGGTCACCCTGCCTTGGTGGGAGACGGCCGACTTGTTGAAAAAAAAAAAAAATAAATAAAATTAAACATGATAAAATTGAGATACATTCTTTCAAAAATATTTTTCAAATATTTAGCTGATTAGCCAGTACTAATGAATGGACAGTGTAGATAGATGTCTCCAAAATACTGAAACTGAGAGGGAAGGGTTGGATTTAAGCAGGACTTGCACATGAGTTAACAGGGTTTTCAAAGCTTATTCCTTGGGTAGCATTGAAAATGGGTTGGGTAAATACTTTTGTAGTGGGTCTGGGTTTACATATTTATTTATTTATTTATTTATTTATTTATTTATTTAATAATTTGAACATACAGAGGTACAAAAAAATACAGGTAAGAGCAGCATGCCAAAGCCACTTGTGTGCATAGCATTACAGGCAGGCTTAAAATTAACTTAAGATTAACTAAGCAATGATGTAATCAGTGATAAAACATTATTGTAAACAGATAACAATAAAGCACAAATGAGTATTACAAAGACAGGTCATATGGTTGCATGCATTGCTGTACATTCAGTAGAATGGAGTATTCTGTTAGGTAGTGTATTTAAAAAATAACAAAGTTAGATTGGGTCTTAGGTTTAACATTTATGTGATATAATTATGAGAAACATTTAAGATATACAATTTATAAGGTTCAGTTATTCAGTATTTATTTGGTTTTGGGTGAGTAAGTGATCTTTGAGAAGAGACTTGAATTTATAAACAGGTAGTGTTTCTTTTATATTTACAGGTAATGAATTCCAGATTTTAGGGCCTTTTATGTGCATTGAGTTTTTGCATAGCATGAGATGGACACGAGGAACATCAAAGAGTGATCTGTGCCTTGTGTTATGGTCATGTGTTCTGTTGAGGTTGGCAAGGAGATGTTTGAGGGGAGGGTTAATATCAGAGTTAAGTGTTCTGTATGTAATAGGTGCAGTAATAAGTATGGATGTTTTGTATGGTGAGTAGGTTTAGTGTTTTGAATATTGGTGGAGTGTGCTGCCTGTAGTGGGAATGTGTTATCATTCTGGCTGCAGCCTTTTGTTGGGTAATTAGTGGTCTGAGATGGTTAATTGTTGTTGAGCCCCATGCACAAATTCCATAGGTGAGATAGGGGTAAATAAGAGTGATATAGGGCCAGGAGGGCTGACTGTGGAACGTAGTACCATATCTTCGATAGTATGCCTACGGTCTTGGAAATTTTCTTAGAAATTTGTTGTATATGTGCATGAAATTTGAGTCTATTATCAAGGTGGATTCCTAAGAATTTTCCCTCTGTTAGCTTTGTGATAGGTGATCCATTTATCATTATGTTAAGAGGGACGTCTGTAGCTCTGTTACCAAACTGAATGAAGTAGGTTTTGTCAATGTTTAGTGTAAGTTTGTTAGTCCTCATCCAGGTAGATATTTTCTGTAATTCGCTATTTACAGTATTGGCTAGCATGACTGGGCTCGGGTGAGAGAAGATGTATGTAGTGTCATCTGCAAATAGTGTGGGTTTGAGTAATTGCGAAGCATTTGGTAGGTCATTTTTGTAAAGGAGAAAGAGAAGAGGGCCAAGGACACATAAGAAAGGAGGAACACTGCAGCAGGCCTGTTGGCCCATACTAGGCAGGTCCTTTACAATCCATCCCACTAACAAAACATTTGCCCAACCCAATTTTCAATGCTACCCAAGAAATAAGATCTGATAACTCTATCCACTCATTTTCAAGTCCCACTCAAATCCAACCCCTCTCACTCATATATTTATCCAACCTAAATTTGAAGCTACCCAAAGTCCTAGCCTCAATAACCCAACTAGGTAGACTGTTCCACTCATCAACTACCCTATTTCCAAACCAATGCTTTCCTATGTCCTTTCTAAATCTAAACTTGTCTAATTTAAATCCATTACTGAGGGGTTCTCTCTTGGAGAGACATCCTCAAGACCTTATTAATATCCCCTTTATTAACACCCATCTTCCACTTATACACTTCGATCATGTCTCCCCTCATTCTTCGTCTAACAAGTGAATGTAATTTAAGAGTCTTCAATCTTTCTTGATAAGGAAGATTTCTAATGCTATGTATTAATTTAGTCATTCTAAGCGGGAGAAT